CCCCGTCAGATTATCTTGAGCAGCCCGAGGTATTTTTCGCAAGTTCGATAATACGCACGTTTGCTTATCTCCACCGCGAAAAGTGGTGTGGAATGGCGAGGAGAGGTAAAGATGGGCGCAATTCGTTTATTATCGCAAACCGCATCTCTTTCCAATACCTACCCCTTTCACTGTATCCGAATAGAGCGAGGCCGAAGCTATAGAAGTGGTTTCAACCGTTTCAACCGAACGAAAGAACGAGAGGGTACGAAGAACGAGAGAGAGAGTGATGAAGGAGGAAGAGTTGGAAGAGGGAAGTTTCAAAGAATTTCCAATTCTCAGCTTTTCAGTATCGCCACCGCCTTCGACGCTTCGTTTGTGCGCCAGAGAGGCAGAAGGATGAGGATAGAAGGGTGATAAAACAGGAAAAGACGAAGGGAATGGGGAGAGGGATTGGGGGTGATGGTGGTCGAAGGGAGAGCCGTAATGAATGGTATTCAGTTTATTCTGGACTAAGTTACGTTGTACGCGCGCAGCCGACGTCGGTACCGGTATCCAGGCACTGAACTAGAAGTAAAATGGGACTGTAGCAAAATTGAAAGCCGGAATTTACCCTTTATCCCTGCCTCTCCCGATCTTCCTACCTGTTTCCTCCTTTTCCAGCCTACGGTCGTTCTTTAACTTTTCCTTCGCGTCTTCTTCTTTCTGTCGCTCTCCTGTGCTTACAGCGCATCCTAACGAGAAAATCGAAAACGAGGAGCAAAAACTCGACGCGTTTTCACCATTCACCACCTTTGAGCACAACTTTTCATAAATATGTTTCCCCATTAACGAAATCATTTCTTCCTTTGTGCCCACCCCCATCTATCGTCGTGATGAACTTGATTCGATTGCAAATTTCATTCGTATGTATATGTACGACACGTGAAGAATAAAATATGTATAGAATAGCGGTTGGATTTTGATTTTTGAAAAATTACAGGAGAAAATGTATCCAATTACGAACTCATTTATATTCTATTCCGCGTTGTACTAATTCATTATGAATCTTTATATTTTGGTAATATTAGGATAAAAAATGACTTCAATAGTTTTTCTATTTTCTATAGGTTTTGATGACAAAATTTTATTTGTAGTTTTTATCCAAATATATATGAAATTTTTAACATTTAAACTTACCAATCCTCTGTAATATGGAGATCAAATATAATCAAAATGCGCACATATATTTTTTAACGATAGAAATGGAAATGTGACGTGTATTCTATGGTCGTGTATCAAAAGTTTAGTTCGATAATGCGCGATACCGCACGTGGTGTCATTGGTTGCATTTCCTGTATCGTTGTTACACACTAGAATTGTGATTACAGAAAGGATAGAGTTTCGCACGAAAACATAGGGGAGGAACCGGTATAGCGAATTGTGCTTTCAAGCTTTCGTCGTGCATCGTATACACGTTCAATGCCGGCAAAGCCTGCACTGTGGTTCGTGCGCGACCTAACGAAAGCCCAAGTACACAATTTGATAATGGGTTAGCTGTGTAACGTGCACACATTTGCCAACCGTGGTACACGCGGTATCCAGGACACACTGAATCAGTAATAACAATGTGTTTGCATAATCAATCATGCCCTTTCTCCCATTTCTTCCTCTCTTTGTCTTGTTACGATGCCATGTTTTCGAGATGCGAAAAATTGAGTAAGACGAATAATATTATCATTCCAGCCTCGAAAAATATGTGCATACTTTAGCTTGTTTAGCTTGCTAACAGTTGCTAATATTTTCTAAATCTATATACATATATATTTTTTTTTAGAAAAATTACTCATCTTATATATCGTCTTATATATTATTCAGGAAAAAAAAGTTTCATCTATACTCTATTATTACGTTACTATTATTTTAAACGCATATTATCTTTTAAAATCTTTTATTTCTTCAATTTTTCTTCAACTTTCTTCTTAAATGTCCATTTGCAGTTTTAATAACGAATCAAAATTGAACAACAAAAGCGATTCGATGATAAGGTGATTATTAATCATAATGATCGTAATGGAATCCAATATATTCGTGAGAAATAACCGAGGAAATTTCCATACATAATAATTCCCATTTCCATAAATATTAATTATTCGATACCCGTACTCTTTTTTTTATTTTTATGCACACGATGCGATGTGTGCATTGTCAACCCCTCGACGAGCCACATTCGTCACGGGCTATAATAGCATGCAAACGAACATTCTGCGAAACAGTATGCAAATAAATATATACCATAGTCTAAATATGGAGACATCTTTCTTTCTTTCTTTCTTTTTTCCGCATCGCGTCAGAATAAGTTAATACGTCTGCGTAAACGCGATGAAAACGCCTCTCGAGGTTCAGGCGAGCACGGCAGAAATTTTTCTCGCGCGCTTTACAGTACAGTGAACAGTTATACGGGAGGTTAGTTTCGGCTTGTAAAAATCTTGGCTGCAGCGGACGCAACCGAGTTTCCCATTTTTCCCTTAGGATCGCGTACAAGTAGACGGAACCACAACTGCACCAGAGGTAATACCGCCATTTCTGCGGACACTTTACACATACACCGATTCACCCGTGATTTCGTTTTTCCCTGACCCTTCAGTTCATGTCTCTCGATTTATCCAATTGTAATCACAATTATTCGTCCAAGTGTTGCAAGATGTTGTAATTGATAAATTTTTAAATTTATCTCCTTATCTTCCAAAAGCTATTATCTCGCGAAAATATTTATAATTGAATTTGATAAAATTATACATGGAGAAGTCGTACGGCTTGCTTTTCATTTCTATCTTATTTGTATGCCGAGATATGTTTTTTTATAATTTTACTATTTTAATTTTTAACGAAGCTAGAGAGAAGTCGAGTATATAAATAAATAAGTTGTTTTAATTAAATTATGTGTTTAATTAACGCAAGAATTTTTTGTTCGAACGACGATTTTTCTATATTCGAAATGTCTTCTACAGTTTTTAATAAGTCGCTGTTAAATTAAGTTAAAAAAAAATATCAATATAATGTTTATATATTTAACAATACTTTTAATAAAAAGATTTGATTATCAATTAGATATCGATAATGAATTATATCTAATACAGAAAAATAGGGTTCAATTGACAAAAGGGAAACAAAATCAATTGGATTTAATCAAAACAATCTTCTAATGGTCACACCACGTTCGTATAGACAAATTGCTTAAATCTTGTTCGTAAATAGAATCATTAGAATTGGTACAAAAGTTATACAGGACACTTTGTAGCGAAGATAGCATCGGACATAGGAGATTATATTGCCAAAGGTGCGAATTTTGTTCATTAAATACTTGGCCTGTTCTGACACTGTGGCTTATATATGATCGTGATTTTAATGTACCCAGGGAAGTCGTACGATCCATTATCACTCTAGCCGTTGTTTCCAAGCGAAATTTCACTGGATTCCCCAGGGAATTTTGCCGTACATTTTGGTGGCTGCCTCACAATACCTACAATCTGTTTTCTTCCGTTTAGCACTGTAATTGCGCTATTATTATGAATGCTGCGGTCCATCCCTACGACTCCTATTTCTCAGTCACGATTGCGAATTCTTTCCAGAAAATCATTCGATGCGTGTATCTGTTCAAATTTTCTTCTTGCAGAGTGGAGTAATTTGTTGTTATATATATTGAGGTTATAAATGTGGAACATAAGTTTATTTTGCAGATAAGGAAACTTCGAGCTAATTCGAAGGGAAAATAGCTGTTTAATTTGTGTTAATCTCTAAATTTGATCGGTTTTATGTCTATGCATATCGTTAATTGTGAAAATTACATTAACAAAGATTAAGAATGTAATAAATTTTTAATATCGTGATAGTGTTACTCTTTTTCTTCTCTTTTTATTGTATGATTTATTTACGTGAGACGATTGTATAAGTTGCTTTTTATGTATTTTATTTATAATTATAAAAATAGAATCTTTAGAAACAAGATATTAAATAATATACAGTGTTAATTACGCGTCAGACGATAATATTCGAATCGGTCAAAGCATCTCAGATATACATATTCGAATCTTATGCTTATGTTGTTGTATTGTATTATCATTAAACGGAAAATAGATGGATGTATACCGTGTCGATAAGGCAAAGATTAAAAAAAAAAATTAATCAGATATACGTAACGTTTAATTTAACTTAATGTCGCGAGATATAATTTTTATTATCAATATAAATCGCTATATTATTCTAAGTATTCGATCTAACATTTCGATTATCTTCAAGAATTATTCTCTTTTGAAAGAAAGAAAAATTTTCTTGATTTTAAGAGTTTTAAATATCGTGATACGTTGAAACGATCCAGTGACATTTCTTAATAATTTATCAAACTATGATATTTTATTTTTCTTGTTACTAACAAGAAACCGAGGACGTGGTAATTAGAACGATAAAACAAGCAACCCGATTCTGTTTTAGACAGACCCAATATACTGTTGCCAAAGACTTCGTTCCTTATCGAGACATCGAAAACTTGTTTACCCGATGTTTTGCAGTGAAATAGCTGTGGCATGATTTTTTTCTCGGCGAACTTTGGCGAACAAAGTTTCAAAGTTATAATCGTAGCCATATTTCGCTCGAACGTTTTACTTCCGTATGATATAAACGATGCACTTATTTCTTTTTCTTCTTACTTAGTTCCTATTTCAAACTATGTCTTCACTTCTCTGTATCAATAATCTCGTATTTCGAGGAAATCATCTACTATAAACACAAACACGTATATCAAGGAAAAATAACACCTCATCGATTCAAAATTTCAGATTTGATTTCTTTCATATACCTAACCGATAAAAATTTTAATCGTCTACGAATTGAATTTTCCACATTTAACCGTTTCGTCTTTATGCTTTCTTCTTTCTTTTCATCATCTCTTTTTGATCATCGCGTAAATAAACAAAACCGAAAAAAAAAAGAAAAGAAAAAGACAAATTTACTAAAACGATAAACTCTTTGATTTTCATATGCAGTTGGGATGTCGGCCATCGAACTTAAGTCTGACCTGCCTGGTTATTCTGGTTCTCATGAATATCACGTTGACTTTCCTGTTGCTGCAGTCGGAGACTTGCCTCCCGATCATAATGCCGAGGGATTTGGGATCGAACGCTATAACCGAATGGAACCTCGGCACATTAATCAAAGAGCCGCAGCAAGAGCAGCAGCAACAATCGGAATGCGTGACACAAGATTACCAATCGTTGCCAGTTGACGCGACCGAGTTAAAATTGAACATAAACCTCGGCAGATGGGACGCTCGTAGATTGTTCCGCACCTTCGACCACATCCTCGTCGGATCGAGTTTCGTCAAACTGTCGCGGGCGTACCGCGTGTGCCTGGCCACCCAGAGCTCCGTGGAGAAGTTGCACTCGATCGTCCAGGCGGCGCACCACTGGACGGGGCCGATGTCGGTAGCCCTGTACGTGGCCGGTGACGAGGAGTTCGAGGTTCTTCAGAAGTACCTGATCTACCTGAGAAAGTGTTACGAGCCGATACGCGAAAGGGTGACGTTCTCGTTGGCCGTGCCGAGGGTTAGACCGGTGAAGAGGCAGCCGCGCGAATTCGAGCCGCCCGATATGGTGGACTGTGCCAAACCGGAGGGGACGTTGAACGAGTTGATGAACGGGATCTCGAACGAGCAGACCAACTGGCGAATACGGAACGCGTACCCCCAGAATCACATGAGGAACCTGGCCAGGAAGAATTGCCAGTCCGATTACGTGTTCCTCACCGATGTGGATATCGTGCCGAGTTTCAATTTGACCGGCGCCCTCGACGAGTTTCTCAGAGCCGACACTTGTGATAAGTGCGCCTACGTAATACCGACGTACGAGCTGGACTCACGCGTCAGATTCCCGCAGAATAAGACGGAATTGGTGAGGCTGGCGAGGAAGGGATTGGCCAGACCTTTCCATCAGAAGGTGTTTATCCACAATCAGTTCGCCACCAATTTCACCAGGTGAGAATGTTTTTTTTTATTTCCTTTCGTTATTTATTTACGCTCTTTTTTTCCTCGTTCAATCGAATAAAATTGTGCATTTCGCGTTAGATGGATACTGGATACGTCTCCTAATCATAAAAAGTATGGAAATATGAAGAGTGGCAAGGTGTACGTCAGTCATGACGTGACGAACTTTGAATTCCTTTACGAACCGTTCTACGTGGCAAAGGATATCGTCCCGGCTCACGACGAAAGATTTATGGGCTACGGATATACCAGAAATACTCAGGTATGAATTTCTCTATTATTCTTTGAAGAGAAAGAAAAAGTAGAATGGGTAACAATTGGTGAACAGGTAATAATTAATGCAAGAACTTACAATGATCCTTTCTTTTCAAAGTAGATTCAGAATAATTGCGATATATCGTTTAAAGAGTCAAAACATTGACCAATCATAGTAGAGCTGTTAACGAATCGCAAACAAGCAACATATATCGAATTTAATTATTTGTTCATTATTCGTAAATAATTCAGTATATTTGTTGTTTCGATATTTGTTTGTTCGAGCTCGACGATTCGTTGACGGCACATACCCAACGCTACCATCGCATAAGTGCAACACGCTACTCCTACGATTTTCCTCCAATAACAAAACAATCGTTAACGAAAATTTTCGCAAAGGATAAAATAGTTTGAAAATCGCCTTAAGAATCACCAATTAAACCTTATTGGTCAACTTTCGCGAAACAGTATAATTGTATAATTTAATTTAACAGTAGATTCAACTCAATTAGGCATTCGCCGTTAATTTCGAAACTTCTTCCCCGGACGGAACTAATTTGAACGATTATTTTTAACCGGAAACGAAATGAGCGCGAATCGAATTACAGAGAAAGCGAATTAAACAGTTATACTCGTATCGTTTTTCACATTGTCGAGAACATTCGAGCAAATGTGAATTCGTGAATTGAGCGGCGGCCGATATTAAAACGTGGTAAAATGGGCGAGGAAAAAAAAAAAAAGAAAAAACAATGTATATTCACGCGATACAGATCGACAATAGGGGAAATATCGAGATCAGGCAGGAAATATCGAGAGGAAATACCTCGAGTGAAAACTCGAGAGGAACACATGGTAGTTTGGTAGTACGAACTCGGGCAAATCCCACGCGCCAAGGATATTAATTGAATTACATATTATCGTTGCAGGCGTTATCGCGCAATGGAGGCTCATTTTGCTGAACAAGCATTATTCAATTTAAACTTGATACGTTTCCGCTACCGTCTAATCGAAACCATTGTATATCAGAAATGTATGCTTGCATTCTTGACTTCATTCCGTATATAGATCAATTCTCAAACCGTGTTTTTTATATTTATTAAAATGTCTAAAAAAATGTTTTTTAGAATGTCAAGTTTTTGGATTATCCAAAGATTCTTTTGGAATTTCATCGAGCTACTTAGAATTTGATAGATGAAATTTCAGATTAGATTTTAATCTTTTAATTAAATAATAGACATGTTGTATTAATGACACTTGCATAAAAGAATATGATCAACATTGATTGGTATTTAATTTTTTGCAGCATTTGCACGTGGTTTTTTTTATTATTGGGATAAAAAAATACGCAGAACATATGATATTTATTGTTTGCTTATCTTTTATGAATATTCAAAAAATATGTTTTTATCGATAAATTGCGATAAAATTTATTTTACGATATATCGCATGAAGTAACAATAACTATAAATATTTACTTACTTCGAGTTATAAATTTCATGAAACAGTATCTCTGTTTCACGTTTCGTTCTATTTTTCGTAAAAAAAAATTTCGAATTACAAATAAAATTATATATATTATTATATCTCGAGAATTGAGAATCGTGGCCTACCTATATTCATACCATCCCACTTTCACATTTATATCTTACATACGTATGCGAATCTGTAACCCAATTACGAGAAGGAATTGAATATAATGGAATAATACGAATAATCGTGAAAGAAATTCACAACAATACTTCATAAAAAAAAAATTCTTAACTTATCCCCAATAAGTTGTAAATTTTCATCTCCTTTATATTATTGATATTATGATACATTTCTATCATGGAAACGAATGTTTAAAATAGAATATAACCGCGAAGATTGATCAAAAAGCGATCCCAAGAACGTGAATTTTTCCACTTATCATAATTAGCCAATTGTTCGTCGACCGATCTTATCGAAAGTCTTATCAATTCAAGAAGAAGTTCGACGAGTTCGATAAATCGTTCAAATTTTCTGAACCCTATAAGGAATCCGCGTGAGAAAACACTTGCTTACACTTCCCTTACATCACGTAACCTCACGTAACGCGTTTTCTATTCGCACGATCTATCGATGCCAGGAATTCGATGCACGCGTGCAGACACGCGTGACGCGTTTCACGGATAACGCATTTCGTGGTTTTTTTCAATGGCGGTGTCGGAGGGAAGGGAAGCCGTTCAGGATTCCCTGGGCGGAAATAACGAAATTCCATGGTGCGGCGAAAATCCGGGCGCAACGTGGCCCGCCGTATTCGTAAAAGCAAGTATGCCGCGGCAATAAAACGGGTATAAATCTACACGGCCGTGGTAACAACAGGCGCGAATGTAAAGCTGTGCGCACGAGTTGTAACACGCTCTCTCTACGTTTCCACCACGTAGCATCGCCACGGCGTACCATCGGTATTCGCATCTTCGTTCTGCGGTTCGTTCGCGCAACATCCACTCCCCACGGAGGAATGAGAATGGATATCGTTCGCCTCTCCCACCCTCTTGTATTTCGTTCTACTCCAACCCCCCGTTCACGGTCCGTCCCTCACGATCCAATGCAATCCTGTCGCGCCGTTCTTTCGTCGTCGAGCAACCATCCTCGACCGAGCTTTTCGAACCCTCCTTTCGCCCCTTCTTCCTCACCTTCCATTCCATCCTGTCTTGGAAAACATCCCGTAAAGGTGGCTTTTCCCACCTTTTTTGCCCCTTGTTTTCGCCAGAGCAACACGTTTCCTCACGAACAAGGAGACAAATTCGAAAACGGGTTCCCCAAACGCTTTTCGCACCCGGCCATCCGAACTGCGAAGCGAATTTTTTTCGTTTCGTGTATTCGTTTATTCAGGTTGAAATTTTCGGATGAGTTTCGACGAGTACGTTTATTAAAATGAGATATTTTTATGGTACGCCATTAATTTTGTACCTTGCTTTTCTGGAGAACGTTCGAAAGAATTTATTTCCGGCTCAATTTCCAATAATATAATATATTTTTCTTCTTTTCTTTTTTTTAAAGACGAAACCATACATCGCCATAGTATTTCCAATCTTAAACATTCGCAATTATTCTTACAAATTTTACAAACAAATAATATTCTTTGACAAAATGAAATTTCAGATATTTTGTATAGCGCAACTGCTAGTCGACAATTATATTTAAATTTCGCTTAAGAATGTGAAAATATATTAATGCAAAGTCTAAATACTAGCGAAAACCTGCAATCATATCGAGCAATTTCTTCTTAGAAAATTTTTACAACGATCGAAACCACTTGATCCCGCGAATTCCACGACAACTTGCATCCTGTATGCAATCAAAAACGTATTCTTCGTGCGAGGGCATTGTGCCACGCTTCTCAAACCAGGCTCTTCAACCAAACCCATCGATACGAAAATTCAACAACAACGATTCGCAATATTCAACGAAATACAGAAATACATTTTATCGCGTAATTCGATCGGCGCAAGGAATCGGCGGCTACTGCATCCAGCGTAGGCGCTCTTCGAAATATTATCCCTCCTCCTCTCCCCTCAGTTCCAACAAGCACCGTCCTCTGTGCACCGTCTCGATAAATTTCGAAGCGACTCGTTTCAATATTGACCTTTCGACGTTCATTTCGAAGATTGACTTTCGATCGGGTATGAAATTGATTCGACAGCAGCAGGGATGCCGTAGCCGTGAGTGACGAGACACGCGAGCGGGCTGTCCGTAAAAGGGGAGGAGGCAGGCTGCGTGCAGATGGCTTCGATTCAAAGGGAAAGAAGATAGCTGCCTGCCTGCCTCACCTGTCTGTGCTCGCCGATTGAGCGATTACCTCGGCGCGAGTCGTCAATCAGGAAGCGGACCGGGTTGAATGGCGCGATTCGACTTCATTGAAAGCGAACGAAGCACAAAGTTATTTCCACGGATCGAGAAACGCCGTTTCTTCCCCTCCTCCTCCTCCTCCTCCTCCTCTCTGCGTCTGGCCGACGAATGGAATTTTGTTGAAAAAAAAAAGATTAACCTAGGGGGATCTATTAAAAGTTTATCGGGATGATTTCGTTGCTTTCAGATACGAGGCGAGGTATTTTTTCTTTTTTTATCCGTATTCGCTATCCCCTCCCCTCGGTATAATTTCTTCTTTCCTTCATCGCCTCGCCTCCGCCTCTTATTAGCCCGGATAAAATTGTCCGGTGAATGCTGGCTGGCTATCGATACGTAATTAACTCGATTCCGATAAAGACTTTACGGCGAGAGTAGCGAGAGTCTCGAAGAAAAAGGAAAGAAGAAAGATGAAGATGCTTGCGAAAATGATAGATTGGAAGTGGAAATTGAATCGTTTGTTCTCTCAGCGTTAATTTTCCAAGTTCGATATATGTAACAAAAGATTTATCGTCATTAATAATTGATTCTTGTATTATATTAATTACAAACGGTTGTATAATAGCATTCTGCTTTTCTCTCTCTCTCTCTCTCTCTCTCTTCTCTCTTCTACAACGGTTCTTATTATTGGCGAACTTCATTAGCTAAGAGATTAATTTCAATGCAATCTTTTCATGTATCTACATTATTATCGCGGAAGGTAACAAATTTGGATGGATATTCCATTATGTTTAATCAGTAAATGTAGTGGATGGTTTAATTATCGTATTTAGTAGATGCTGAATGCCTCCGTTCGCAATTAGTTTCGTCATAGAAAGCTTGTTATATCATCGTCATCGTCCGATGTGTGCATTAACATTAATGCGCCATTGTTTATAAATAATTGCTCCTATATTGGAATTCTGACCCCATCATTGTCGTATTTTCAACATGTTATACAATATGATCCCCAATTATACACGTCCATACTAATGACAAGCAATAAATTCACGTATCGCCGAGCTTATAGCAACGATCGTTCGTCGATACTATCGTTCATCGTTTCGTTATCTTCGTTCCTCGACGAACTCAACTATTACTAGATCCATATTTTTCTTCGTCCACTATCGATTCTCTCTAACGAATAATTCCATTTTA